AACTGCGAAAAGAACGAGAAGAATAGTATTCTACAAATTGAAGACTAAAAAATTCAACTGACGAATTAAAAATTAAATTAACTAAAGAACAACAAAAATTACAAATAAAATTAGAAAAAATAAAAGAACTAGAAGGAGAAATAGTAATAGTGAGAGAAGAACAAAAAGGATTAAAGAATGAATTACAATAGTAAAAGTAAAATTTTAACTTATAGTTATTATAACTAAAATATTAACTTAATAATTTAGGAGAGATTGGTGGATTGACCATGTAGAAGAATAAAATAAACAACTTTGAGAAAAATATGAAATATATGAAGAAAGTGAACATAGTTGGGATGAAGTTTCTGATAATAAATCTGATGGGGAAGAACAAGAAATTAATACTACTAAAATAAATCAAGATACAGAAGTAAGTAATAGTATTACTAATGAAGATGAAGATAGTATGCGAACGATTGGATGAGATGAATATGCAATGGATGTAGAAGAAAGATCAACTGAATTAGAAGCCAAAGAAAATGAAGAAGATATCGATAATCTTGAATACTTAAATGAAATTATATATAGAGAATAGGAACAAAAACAAGATATAGATTCTAGTAGTATGGAGGACGTAGAAGATGAAGTACAAATAAATATTGAAGAAGCAGAAGGAAGTAGTAGATCTGAGATCCCTTAGTTCAAAAGAGAAGAGAATGATTATCGTCAAATAGAGGCAGAAGCTCATTATGAAGCTCTGATAAAATTATTAAAGAAAGAAGATCCCTTTTAGTTTCATTGTATATATAGGGTATCTATTTTTTTTTTTGTAGAGGATCTTATTTCAATTTTTAAAGTTTTGTTTCGATGATAGTATCACGTAATATCTGTGGTTGTATAGGTATAAATAATAAGAAATAGTGTTTCTTGATCATATAGCATTTAGTGAGAAAATCATAGGACACTATTATCGAGAGATCTAATTTAAAACCGTATTAATTCTTCGTATAAGATGGTCATCCTTTTTTTTAGTATAAGTAGTGATTTGAGTAATTTCCATCTAATAATGTATTACAAAATTTTTCTTTTTCTTTCATCTGTAAATCATTCCGTATAATGTGTGGGGTATTATGTATCCTTGAAGAGAAATAAAGTCTTCTGATTCTTAAACCTTGTTTGGATACTTTGGCCAATTTTGTAATTCTTGGATCTATGTAAGTTAAAACTTATATAAAATAGTAATTTATATAAACTGAATTAGTAAGTATAAAATGATTTGTGGAGTATAATAGTAATGGTAAGTAATATGATATTGCTTTGTCTAGCAATATTAAAAAGCTTATATATAATTTTTGTTAAAGCAGATGTTAATAAATATTATATTTAAAAAAAATTTAAACTATAATATTTATATACTATTTCCCTGTTTTATGTGATTCTTTCAGGATCATATCTTAAAATTAGATTAGTAATTTAAATATAAGATCTTAAATTTCAATTGTGTTGTAAGTTCAATTCGTGAATAAATTCTTGTCCAGTACGAATTAGTTTAAGTGCAACCTATCTTTTGTATATTTAAATCTCTCATCGTCTAATATTCTGTAGATAATTCTTTATGAACTTTCATCTTAGCTTGAGAATTTATTCAAGTGCACTGGTACTATTCGGTTCACGTGATCACATCCAGAATTTATTATTAATGATTAAACTTCTTATTCATTCTTGCTTTGATTGATTCTTTGATAATGTATGTTCATCATCATCATTGGCAATTGAAAAATCGAAAGCAGTAGAATCACAAGTTTTTAACGATTTTGCAGGTGAACTAAATGAAAAATTAACTGACGTAGAGCAGTTTACTCGTAAGTTTATCTTCAGGGCAAACTGGCAATTTGGCTGATCACGTTGGAATAATTGCCTCTGTATGTAGGAATGCTTTTAATATTGTTAATTTATTTTCATCTCCCACGCTACTATAATTTAATATCTGATGCTATTTTCATAATTTATCATATATATCGGATGCAATTGGTCTATTAAGAGGATTAGCATCTATTTATTTGCTAATTATAGTATTCAGGAGTGCTTGTAGCAAATCTAGAATATAGTCCATTATATATTTGAACAGTTGACGCCACATCATACTCAACACAGTAATGAGGAGAGTCCTTTCGTAGAAATCTCAGCCATAATATCAAAATATCTTCTAAATCAGATTCATTCTTCTTTCTAGATCTTTGCTAGATTTGCAGATATATCGACAAGTTATTTTAATTTTTAATTCGTCAGTTGAATTTTTTAGTCTTCAATTTGTAGAATACTATTCTTCTCGTTCTTTTCGCAGTT